AATACCGATAAGTGATTAATAAAAGTCAAAAGACCAAAGAGGTCACCTTAAAAAAAAAAAAAAAAAAAAAAAAAAAATAATATTACATTACTAAATACTATTTCAAAACTTTACTAGATTTTATTAGTTTATCTGTAACATTGAATGTCACACTTCTTCTAATAAGAAAAAAAGAATCAAGAAGCAAGCTTAAAATAATAAATACTATCTGCCTTCTTGTAAAGCCTTACTTTAGAGTAAGACCTTTTCAAATTCCTGACTTTCTTGACATTATAGTCAAGGCTGGCTTGGCTATATAATTGCTAAAGCTCTTTCTTTTGCTTTAAATATTTAATTAGCAACTTTTCACTAAGATCATTAATTATGATTTTATATTTAAGAGCAGAATATAGTTTTCCTTTAAGCTCCTATTTTTTTATTTCATTTAAAAAAAAAGATAGATAATTTGGAAAAAAATAAAATATATCTAGTCATTTTTACTTTTTTTGTTTTTTCAAGCTTATGAAAAAAAATATTGATAATACTAAAAATATATCGATAATATTGAAAATATATCAATAATACTAAAAATATATCAATAATACTAAAAATATATTGAAAAATTATTGATAATTTTTCAAAAAATTTTTTTGTTTATCTATAAAAAATGCTTTGGTATTTACATTCAGATGCCACTTCCCTATCTACTAAAAATATTCAAAATATTATTAAAGCCAAAAATTTAATAAAGCAGACACTAGAAGCTATGGCTAATAAATACAAAATTTGGAAAGGAGTTCATCTGCCAATAGATTCACACTTTTTTTTTATAAATTCAAAAAAAAATTTGGATAACAAATCAATTTCCTCTCTTGACTTTGTCAAGGAAGGTAAAATTAAAGATCAAGAGGCTGAACCAATTTTGTCTGAGCCAGGCTCAAAAGACACTTTTTTTTTTGCAATCTCAAAAAAAAATAATTTAGTTAGCAAACTAATTCTGCCTTCAAGTGATTTATTACAAGAAGGTAGAGGCCAATAAGATCTAATTGCATTTTATGAAAAAGAAGCTATTTGAGATAAAAAAAATATAGACAAATTTAAATATATACTAGCTAAATAAATGATTCAGCTTATCAAAGAATAACAAAAACTTCACACATACATCAGTAAGAACCTCTTTAGCATTAAGAGTATCAAATAACATTTTTTCAAGTTCATTATAACTTATAGGTTTTTTTTTCTAAAGTCAGATTGATTTCTAGCCTGCCTTTCTTAACATAAGTTAAGGATGGCTCAGCCAGAATTGATTTGTTACCCAAATTTTCTCTTTTCGCATTTATAAGAAAAAAGCAGAACTTATAAACTGAAAGAGGTACAGTAATTATCTTATTTTTATACATTAACTTGAATTCACACTTAACAATAAGCTTCTATTCTGCTCAATTAAGTCAAGGTATATATAATAATATTTAGAGCTTATCATTATCTATAACCAGAAAGTCTTCAAAGATTGTACAACTATTTTCTCCTTGACTAATTATAACCAAAATATTATAAGATATGCTTGAAGACTTTAAGGAATTATTACATCATTTAACAGATGGTTTTTTATTTTTATTAACTTCTGTTTCCAATAGTTTTATAAGACCTTTTAAGATAACTAAGCAATTTGCTTCACTATTTATCATGATAGAAGGCACTTGTATGATTTTTTCTAATGATGAGCTAATTTTACAACATATAGTAGCAACATCATTGGAAATAATTTTGTGAATAAAATTAATTTTTATAAGGTTGGGCCATGAAATTTCTGCCTCTGATTGTGATCTCTCTAGAACTGTTTAGAATAGTATATTTGTTTGCTAAAAAGCAATTCGAATTAGATCTAATATTAGTTGCAAAATATGAGAAAATATGGGCTGTGTGCTGAAAAAAGGAACCAAATTGATTTTTTTTTTGAAAAAAATTTCTTAAGTAAAATAAATGTAGATTTGATCATCTGATTCAAAACATTTATTATTTTCAAAAAAATTTTTTTGTCAATTTGGTCCCTTTTCTTAACACAGCCCATATTATAAAAATCTCATGCCAGAACTTTTTTCATTCTTTGTCTGAAAAATTTGAAGTAAAATGATTTAGAACAGGATCTTTTAGTACAATAAATTTAGACTTAATTATATTATAACTATTAATTAAAACTTTTTTAGATTAGGTACAAGTAAATGAATCAATCATTGATCATAAAATAGCAAAAAATGCATTTAGGCTAATATTATCTGTAGGAATTTTAAGTAACCTAATATCTTTACTACCCTTTTTATTAAAGACATTACTAGATTTTTTGCTAGAAATTTTTTGGTCTAACACTTTTGTGCTTTTTTGATCTCTTGCTATTAGAAAAAGTTGTTTTTTTTTTATAACATTAACTTTGTATTTTTCTAATTCACTTTCTAAATTACTAAACTCACTGGTTTCAGAGAAATCCAATTCTGATTCATTTTATGAACATGCCAAGATATTGGTTTCAAGTTTATTTTCACTAAATATCATACTATTTTTGCTATCACTAGAGTCTGAAGATAATTTATTTAAAATTATATAGGCATTAATATACTTGGATAATTTCTTTTTTTTGGTTCTAAATTTTGATTTGGTTTTGTGACAAGAAAATTTGGGCTTGCTAGAAATCTTTTTTATAGCTTTAGCAATTTTAGTCTGATTGATATGAAGATCTTCTAATTGCTTGTGCATATCTTTTACAAGGTCATTATTGGTAATTTCAACTTTCTTTATTACTGGTTTTGAAGGTAAATCAGGCTCAAAAGTAGGAACAAATCCTGAAATCTTTCTGTAAGCCATTGTATAAATTTATGCATATTTATATCATATATAATTTAAGAGATTTCTAGAGGTTATGGCCTATAGTCAGATTGTGATAATTGAGAAGAAATAGGTTGAGTTTGTATAAATAACATTATAGATTTTATTAAGTTTTCAATTTCAGTTTTGGTTATATCCATATTGCTTAAATAATTGTCTTTTTTATAAGATTTATCTAATGATACTGGACCCAAATATAAATAAGCTTCAGATAATTGCTCTGTCTTATATCTTTTAATTTCTTTAAGTTTTGTAAGCAATTCAGATACAGGTTTGTTAATTCTGATGCATCAAATTTCTAATTAATTATCAAAAAAAATGTCATGAATAAATTGTAATTGAATTTTTTGTTTATCAATACTAGCTAGCCTAGCAAGTTTACATAACTTAAAATAGAATTAACCTACAGAATTACTGCCTTAGACCATTGAACCAAAGAGCATTTACTGTTTTTTTTGCAGTAACTGTGTGATAGTTAGTTTTAAGCCAGTATATTGTTTAGCCAAGTCAGATTCTATCTGCTACTATAGTTTGTCTAGCATTAGCATTTGGCATATTAGATAATTGATCTGTTGAGTGCCTATTAGCAAAAGACCAATCTTCATCAAATACTATATGAGCAGAAATAACAATATTTCCAGCCTGGCCCACAGCATCATGTCTTAAATTTACACCAAGTTGTACTACTATTCATTCTTAAGCTAGAGCTAAAGTGCCTGCCTGGTATTATCTAATAAATTTCTTAATTCACAATTCTTTCAATGAAGAGATCTTTTATACCAGTCTTTAGCATCATCTTTAAGACATGTTTCAAAAAGACCATATGCTTGAACTCTGTAAGTGTGTCTAGCTAATATATTAATTTCTATAGCTATAAGATATAAGTAAAAAAAATCAATAAATTCTTCAGGATCCTCATCTGAATAGCTATTAAAATTTGAAGATGGGTATTTTGCCATTCTTATTCATTGAATATTTGATAGGTTATTCTGTAATGCAAAAATTTGTTGATTTAAATTATTAATTAATTGTTCAGAATTTCAGGTCTGAGTTTTTCATTTATCCTATTTATTTTGTATAGTTCTGCATCTATTTTTCTATTTGTTATATTGGTTTGTTGTAAGATTTAAGAGATGTATAGTAATTGCCTTATTTGTCTTACAATCTTGTAGTTGCTAATAGGCTTTTCTATTTTTAAATCTTAATGCAAAGCTTTCTAGGAGCAATTCTGATATTTGGCTTTTTTGTATGCAGATTGTAATTTGGTCATCTAGTTCTCAAGATTTAAATATATTATGCTATGTTCTGTAGACCTTATAAGCCTGATAAAGAAGATTATAGCCATTTTGAAACCTAGCTAACTGGGTTTGTAAATTAGCAAACTGGGTCTGAAAATTGGCTAACTGGATTTGCAAAGTTATTAGCTAGGTTTGCAAATTTGCTACTCAATTTTTAGTATTAATTGCTTGAGCATTTGCTCATAGATATATTTATAGCACCAATCTTTCAAACCTATTTTTGACATCAAAAATTATATTAAAATAATCTTTAATACTATTTATTGTAGGTGCTATTGTAATTGAACTCTGAAAATATTGTCTAATGTTATCAATCTCTTGCTGAATTCTATTATTTTGAATCATGGCTTGATTTTTAGAAAGAAATAATGTTCAGAGAGATTCTGGTTGTTAATCTATTTCTATACTATCATTGGAATTTTTATACAAAACAAGTATTTTTTCATTAAGCTTGTCTATTTTATTCTAAAAAATTACTAATTGCTTCTTTATATAATCAATATAATTTTTTTGATTTTTAGAATCTTTAATTACCTTTTTTAACTTTTTTTTAAGATAGGAATTTCTATATCTATTGCCTTGCATAAAATTTATTACTATTCTAATAGTTATCAAAAAACCATGAAAAAATTGTATAAAGCTTCTTTAAAAGCTGTATATAATTTTTCTATTAATAAAGTATATAATTGGCTTAAAAAACAAGCCTTATATCAAATTCATAAACTCTGGCCAAGATTTATTTTTAGAGCCTCTTTTAATAATATACATATTTCTAATAAATATTACTAAGTAGATATTCTTTATATGCTTTATGACCAAATTAATAATATAACTTATAAATATTGCTTATATATAGTAGATATGGCTTCAAGATTCAAGTAGGTAGTTTCTTTATCTGATAGATCAGCTTCTTCTGTGGCCAAGGCTATTAAAAAAGTTTATAATAATTTCAGGTATTCTTTTATTTGGCCTAAATTATTAATGATTAATTCTGGCTCAAAATTTAAATCTGATTATAAAGAATTAATAAAAAAATATAATGTTAAAATTAAGGTTGGCATGTCTCATAGAAGCCAAGGTATTATTAAAAGATTTAATCACACTTTAGCTAAAAAATTCTTTTGTTTGCAGGATGCTTCTGATTTATTATTATCTATACCTAAAAGATTAAGAGCTTGGGTTAAAAACCTTTATATAATTATTGATAACCTTAATAATTCAGTAACTAGATTAATTGGCATGGCCCTGGCAAAAGCTATAAAAATAAAACATATTATTTTAACATCTTCTAAATTACACATGGCCTATAGAATTTAATAAGTCTAAATTAGATTATAATACTTTGTTTAGATATTTACTTGAACTTGATAAATTAGAAACAGACTCTAAAAGAGCAACTGACTATAATTGGTCTCCTCAGATTTATTTTATCTGTAAAGCTTTGGTACAAAAAAATCAGCCAATCTTGTATTGGCTAGAAGATGATAATAGTAATGGACCAAAGTAATCTTTTGTTAGAGAAAAGCTTTAAATCATTTCTTTTAATATAGAATTGCCATTTCAGTAAGTGCTTATAAGTTAAAAATTTTATAATATAAAAGATGTTTGTAAAATATTTCAAGTTGGTATTTCTGGTCTTTTATGAATTAAGAAAATCTTCTGCTTCTTTATCAACTTGGTTTTTTTAGCAAAAATAATCAGAGAATATTCTTGCTCTTATTTACATAACTCTGAAAAGACTTGTAGTAGGTCTTGTATGCAATCTAAAGAGTGTCGCTTTTATTGAAAATCTAAAATATGCATTCTGTATAATAAATATGATAAGCCTACTGGCTTAAGTTTTGGGCAGTGTTCATTACATATTAAAGGCTATTATGTGATCTAATATTATAACAGATTGCATAATAAAGCCTTAAAAAACTCAGAATAGATAGTGATTTTAGTAAGACTTTTTGGTAAAACTTTGTCAGATTAAATTTTTTTGGTAAAACTTTTTAGTAAGACTTTGTCAGATTAAAATTTTTTGGTAAGACTTTTTAGTAAGACTTTTATTTTTTGATAAAATTTTTTAATTTTGGTAAGACTTTTTGTTCTTTGCTAGATAGTAATGAATCACTTTTTGAATTAATTCTAAGATAACATAGAAAATAGTATGCATTTTAGGCTTGAATAGGCTCACAAAAAAGCACACTTGGACACTTCAGTCCTTGGTGCTCTTAGCTCATTTCAAAGGCAAGCAATATAGCATAATTATTTTGTTATCTTGTTTGGAATTAAAAACATAACCAGAGCATTAACAAAGACTACTTACTCCTTAATGATGGAATTAAAATTTAAGAGTAAGAAGAGTAAGTTAACAGAATTTGGCTCTAGTGTAATTTAGAGCTTGAATTTAATATAAAATTAAATATATCTAGAAAGACTCATAAAGATTGTTAAAAAGGCAGAAAAACTAGAATCAAAATTCTGACCTCAGAACTTCCCTTTTTGCTCTACTGTATATATTTTTTTTGCACTTAAAGAAGGAATTCTATTAAGAAATCTCTGATGCTTTTTATATATTCTTGATATTAATAGATCATAGTATATTTTTTAAAGAAGAGAAGAGATTGTTTCTTCTTGATCAACACCATCTTCTACTAAGTAAAATGCAGTTAAGTCTAAAGTAGTAATTACTTTGTTGATTCAATGTAAAAGCAAATATAATAGCAGGTTTATAGCTTGTCTAGAATGCAGATTTTTTTAAGAGCCTTGTATAACATAAGTATATGAATTGAATCAAAGGCTTTTGACATGTCTTGAAAGAGAATCTAGATTTCTTTATTGTTTATAGTTGTGTTCTCAAGAATTTGAGTGAGTTGTAAAATAGATTATAGTATAGATTAATATAGAAAGGCTGCAAAATTGTAAGGTAATAGCACTTGATTGCAAATTAAGATATTTGTAAGTTAAGTTGTTATATTTTTTGTAAAAATTTTTCTAGTATATTCAATTAGTGTAATAGGACAAGTGAAGTTAAGTTCATAATTGTTATGTTGTTTCTTTAGGATTAGCTAGATGTTGGCTTGTAACTATTGATTAGAAATAATTTCTTATATTATACAGCTGTTAAATATGTTTAAAAAAAAATAGAGTCTAATAAGAGTAGATTTTGAAGAACTTTGTTTGCAATTCTTAGAGGTCTAGTTCTTTCTTTTTGGATGCTGCTTTTATTATTTGTTTAAGTTCTGTTATAATAATAGAAGATAGAAAGTTGTTGTATATATTGCTTTAAATATTGTTAAGTGAAAGGTAGGTTGTTTCTAATTTCTTTCAATTGTTCTTATTGAGGAGATTGCTTTTAGTCCAGTTTTTAAAATGTAAATATATTGCTTTTTTAATTTTTTTTTTTTTGTAATTATTTTATCAAATAAGATAATTTTTTTAAAGCTAATTGGTTCTGCTCTTCTTTTTAGTATACTATCTAGCATATAGCTAGTATTGTTTTTAAAATCTAAGTATCTTCAATTTGTATAGAATTTAATTTATTCACTTTGCTTTTGTTTTTTTTTTGGAAGTTGTATGTTTGCCAAATTATATGTTTGTGATGTTTTATTTGTGCTATTGTATTTGAAAAAAAGAAGCTTAATTGTGTTTGTGTTATTAAAGAAATATCAATATCTGCTAATGTAGCTGCTTTTGCCAAATAATAGTTGGCTTCAATTAGGTTATTTAATGAATTGCTACTAAGATATCATAAATATTTGTTAATATGTTTTAGAGTAGAATGCAATTTAGTAGCTTTTAATAAAAGTGCAAAGAAAGATTTTGGTGTTATAAAGATATATGAGATATGTTCATTATTTTTTTGGTTTTTGCTGTTCAGAAGTTCTAGGTCTTGTTTATTGCATTTTTGTTCATATTAAATAAAGAAGTAGTTTGTATGTTAAAGATGACATCTATAGCATTTTCAAAGTTGTTTTAGCCTTCAGCTATCATTTTATTAAATTGGTATATTTTTTATTTTTTCTTTTGTTTCTGAGTTTTTTTTGTAAAAAGAAGTTAGTATACCAAGTTGTATGCAGAATATAATGATTATTATCAGAAATGTTTGATGCATTGATTAGTGATAAAGATTTAAAAACTAATAGTATATCAGAAGAGATTTAGAAGTCATCTATTTGACTAGCATTAGTAGAACTATGCTAAGTAGATGCTTTGATGTTATAAAAAGTTAAGAGACTAGTTAAATTAGTAGCATTTAGCTCAGTGAATAATGAAAATTGTTGGTTTCTGTGTTGGTTGGCATTAAAATCTCCTAATATGATTAAGTGCCAGTTTTTAGCTTTGGTCTTTGTAATCCAAATAAGCAATTGGAATTGAGTATGTTTTAAAAGAAAGGCATAATTTAAGGAAAATAAGTTGAGATAATACAAGATTTGTTATTGTTAGAAAAAAAAAGTTTATGCAAATTGCAGTGTCTAATAAGGTGTTAATTTTGTGAATGTATAGTTGTAGTTGGTTGCATATCAATAAGGCTGTTCTCAGGCTGGTTTTTTATTAATTTGATTTGTATAATATAAAATTTGAGATATATATTTTGTATAACAGATTGGTTAGTGATTTGGCTATTGATTCTTTTAGTTTGGTTTCTGTAAGAGAGACTATATGCAAGTTTAATGCTTTACAGTATTCAATCCATGTTTGCATTTTTAATATATCATTAGCATCTCTAATGTTATAAGTAGTTATATTGATTTTTCATTTAGATTAAATTTAGGTAAGTTTGGTTTTTCTTTTTGTAATTGTAAGTTAATTGTTAATAAGTTATTGTTGGCAGTTGGTGTATTTATATTATTAATTGATATTATTATTGTTGGCATTTGGATGAAAAGATCTTTTAGCTTGGTTCTAAAAGAAGTAATAGTGCTAATATATTATCAGGAATGTTGTTAATTGTAAAGTGTTGTTATAACAAATTAAATGTATCTTTGGCTTTAGTTTGTTGTATAATAGAAATAGATGTTGTTGCTATATCAATGTTTTTTGCATTTAGGTATTCTTTAATTTCAGTTAATAAGTTTGGAATTATTGGTTTAGAAGAGGCTTGGTTTTGTCTGAGTTTGTACTATGCATATTAGCATCTTTGATGTTTGTTAATATTTCGATGCAAACATTTAAAATGTAATAAAAATGATATTTTTGTCTAAGTTGTCTAGTCAGATTTACTAATACTTTAGTTAAGGATATTGATATTACAATGCTAAAATCTTTGATATGTTTCAGATTTGCTAGCAAATCTGGCTTGTTAGTAGAATTTGCTATTATCACAATAGATGATAATAGAAGTAAAAATTTGTAAACTAATGTAATTTGATTGATAAAATGTTTTGATATTTGGTTATCTGTAATAGGATAAGTAAAGGCATCAGGTGTTTTATTTCATAAGGTCCTTAGATAATAATGGTTTGACTTTAAAATAGTTATTTAAAAGGCTTTTAAAGGAAATTTCTTTTCTGAATTGTTCTATAATTTGTGTAAAATTAGTATCTAGATCCTGTAGATTAATAGAAAAGTGAAGCCTATATTTGCTGTTTAGGTTCTAGTATGCCAATAGTAGTGGTTTTTTCAGTAGTAGTAAGTTAAAGAAACTGAAAAGTATACTATTACAAGCATAGTAGTCTTGTAGTTTCTTTTTAAAGTATGCCAAGTTATTTAATTAACTGCATTCTGTAATAAAAAAAAGATCTTTTATTTTTAGATAAAGTTCATATATGCTTTTTGATATTGGGACTAATGTTGCAAAATATTTTTTTAGCAATTGATTGAAGTTATAAATTCTGTGTAGTTTAGTCACAATGGTCTTTGTTTGTAATCTTTGTTTTATAAAAAGTTCAAAAGAAAGTATTTGAAGATTTTCTTGTAGTGTCTTACTTGGATCTGCTAGAAGTAAAGCTAGTTGTGCAAAGAAAGCATTCTGTACTACTTCTTGTATTTTTTTAAATTCAATTAGAGTTTTATTTTTGGTAAAGCCTTTGTAATATTTAATCAAATAATATATAGTTTTGGCTATATTTGTTATAAAGTTTGTATTGATAAGATAGTCAATCATAATTTTTTGTCTAAGTTTTGCATATATAGTATCTCTAATTGCTCTTGTTGTGATTGTAATTTCATGTTATGTTTTATAATTTTTAATTGCTTCTTTAAACAAATCTTCATATATGATTTGGTAAGGTAATATAGATTATTGTCTCTTGTAAAAATAAGAAAAAAAACATGATCCTGGTATTTAAATTTTGCCTTAATTGCAGAATGAAAAGAAAGGTTAGTTGGTTTAGTTTGCAACTTGTATATTGTAAAATCAAAAATTTTTTTTTTTGTTTTTAATACTGTAATAATGTCATCATATTCTTAGGCATTTTTGTCAAAAGGTTGAGTGATTCTATTTTGAAAGTTATTATATATTCTATTTATTTATACTTGGATGTAATCTATCTTCATATCCATTTGTATTCTGCTAG